ACATTCGTCAAGAGTCAAGAATCATCAGGCACAACACTTAATGATAGTCATAGGGTACAATAAGCAATCAAAATAATACTAGGAAACAGTCAATATAAATCGTAAGGATACAAGCGACAAAGTTAGTCATACAGTCACAAGTGGGAGAGGATGGGTGATAAGGAGTGATGAGGAGATTAATAGTGATAGTAGTGCAGACTTTGTCAATAGCTGGACAGTGTTGAGGGGATTATCTGTTTAGCAGAGTGATGGCATTCGAGAAAAAACTCCCCTTGTGTCTAGTTGTTCTGGTGTGCAGAGCTCTATAGCATCGTTTTGAGGGTAGGAGTTGAAACCGTTTATGTCCAGGATGTGAGGGGTCTGTAGATATTTTCACAGCCCTCTTTTTGACTCATGCAGTCAAATATAAAAGTTTAAGCACAGGTAATCCTTTAGTTATGACCACAACAGAGCCCAACATTTCTGTTGCTAAGCGAGACATTTGCTAAGGGAGTTTTGCCCCATTTTATGATCTCTCCTGGCGCAGTTGTTAAATGAATCACTGCAGTTGTCAAATTAGTGACATGGTTGTTATGTGAATCTGGCTTCCCCATGGACTTTGCTTACACAAAAGGGGATCACATGACCCAGAACACTGCAACCGTCATAAACACAAGTCCGTGGCCAAGCGTACGAATTTTGATCACATGACCAATGTCCAACGGTCGTAAGGGTGAAAAAAGGTCATAAGCCAGTTTTTTTAATACCGTTGTAACTGCAAACGGTCACCTAGCGAACTGATGTAAGTCTAGGATTACCCGTACAGAAGAATAAATATAAAATGATAAGTAGTATAAGAAGCACATAAAATATAAGGTAAAGGTTTCCCTTGCACATCCGTGCTGGTCGTTTCCGGCTCTAAGGGGCACTGCTCATCTCCGTCACAAAGCCGAAGAGCCAGCGCTGTCCGAAGACGTCTCCGTGGTCATGTGGCCGGCATGACTAAATGCTCGGCGCACGGAACACTGTTTCCTTCCCACCAAAATGGTCCCTATTTTTCTACTTGCATTTTTTTTACATGCTTTCGAACTGCTAGGTTGGCAGAAGCTGGGACAAATAACGGGAGCTCACTCCATTACACGGCACTAGGGGTACGAACCGCTGAACTGCCGACCTTTCTGATTGGCAAGCTCAGCATCTTAGCCACTGAGCCACCCATCCTTACATAAGAAGTATAAAAATATAAGTATGAAATCCAGCTCTCGTTCTGTGTTCTCCTCCTCTAGGAGGCATGAGGCCTAACACCATCGCGCTGGGCTTCTATGACAACCCGCCCCTGCTAGACAACGTGTCCCAGCCCACCGCCTTCAGCAGCGACGAGGCAATTTGGCATGACTTCCCTCCCGTCTGGAGCTCCGGAGGCCCCAAGCAGCTTTCTTCCTGGGAGTACGTGGCCATCATCTGCGACGCCATGAAGATGTCGCGCAACGTCCTTCTGGCCCGCTACTTCGACCAGCTCCAGCTGCCTCAGACCGCCGGGTGGCGAGCCCAACCTCTCATCGATGTCTGGCCCATCAACCTCCTGCGGCCCGACAGCGCCCGCTACGTCGACACCAGCAGCCTCTTCCTGTTACAGATGGGCTGCGTCCTGGCCATGACTCGGTCGTGGCGACGGTCTCGGTTGCGCCTCTTCCTGTGCGTGCAGAGTTGCACCAGCCCCCAGGGCCAGGAGGACAAGCTGCGGCAGCTTCTGAAGAGCCTGCGCATCCAGGCAAAAGTCCAGCTGGTGCTGTGGGACGACGTGGTCGCTCTCCATTGGCACAGCCGCCAGGAAGACTCGGCGGACGGCGCCCTCAACTTCTCCAGCAACATAACCTCAGTTTCCGACGAGTACTTGACTGCGGTTAACCAGCTGATCCTCCAACAGAGTTCCGCCCCTACTGTCCGCTTCCTTTACCTGCCCCGTCCTCCCGCGGACACTAATTTATACCCCAGGTATTTGGAACAGCTGGAGATCCTGACCCACGGACTGGGCCCCACACTGCTGGTGCATGGGGTGAGTGCCGTCACGAGCACTCAGCTGTAAAGCAGGGTGGTCTGTTGTCCACGGTGGGCAAGGGTTGGTGGTTGACAGAACACCAGGCCGAGGTGGCCCTTAAGGATCGAAGGGAAGGGGAGATGAAGATCGACCAGCAATATTCTTGCCTGAAGTTGGGGTTCCACATCTCCCCAAGCTTTTCCTCCCAGGCTGGGGTGCTGCGATGCCTCCCAACGCACGGCAACGGTGCAAGCAAGGTTGGAGGCCCCGGCTCAGTGGTCCTAGCCGAGAGCTTCCGTCGAGCGGCGTCTTCTCTGGGCTGCTTTTCCAGACTCCCGAGAGAACGAACTCCTTGTAACAACCAAAGAATAGGGACCTGAGTCTGGGTCCTTCATCTTTGGAGTTTTGGGCAGCCAGAAAGTTCTTTGGCGCCGGTGGCTTTGGAAAACTCTGTGACGGCTGCCTTTCTTTGCACGCTTGTAAAGATGGGAACAGAATTAAAGGTGGCATTGTTGGATTTAAAACTCTGGTGATGGCAGGGGAGCTGTTTCTTACTAACAACAATCAGGATTTAAAGCAGGGGTCGCCGAACTTGGCAACTTTTAAGACTTGTGGCCTTCAACTCCCAGAATTCCCCAGCCAGCCTTTAAGACTTCAACTCCCAGAGTTCCCTAACCAGCCTTTAAGACTTGTGGCCTTCAACTCCCACAATTCTGGGAGTTGAAGTCCACAAGTCGTTGCCAATTTGGAGACCCCTGACCTAAAGGATCCATCATCAACAGCAGGGCTGGGTGTCATTCTTACCAAAGAGCGACAAACTCATCCCGCAGCTTTGCTGTGTAACAAACGCTGCTTGTGGAGTAGCAAACGCAATTGGCACCTGTTTGTGTGATGGCTTCCAGTCTCAGCAAATGTGTTGCCTTGAGTATTGGATCCATTTAATTGGAGGAAGAATGGAGAGAGAAAAAAATAGGTAATCACTCTTGACTCTTTCATTCAGTGGTCTTGCTCGCTCCATATAGTTAACTAGGTCAGTAGGGCAGCTACTGAATTGTAGAGACGCATAAATCACGTGGGATGACCCATTTTAGTTAGTCCTCCAAGAAAAAGAGGCCGAAAGGCAGAATGTCTGGAAAAAAGCACAGACGAACTGCAATGACCCAACTGCTCAGCAGTATCTCCAATCAGAATAGAGCTGGAAGGGACTTTGGAGGTCTTCTAGTCTAGCCCTCCGCTCAAGCAGGAGACCCTATATCAGTGGTGGCTAACCTTTTTTGAGCTCCTGTGCCAAAAATTGTGTGGGCGCTTGCGCTCGTGCGCTCACGTGCCAGCACCAAAAGGCAATACGCGCGCCCCCTGCACATGCATGCGCAAAACCTGCCCCCTTACCTGCACTGCACCTCCCAGCTGGTTTTTAGCCCGTTTGAGGCATTTTTCGGCCTCCCAGAGGCTTGAGGAAAGCTTCTGCAGACTGAAAAATGAACCCGTTGCATCACTTCCGGTATTTCCGGAAATACAGGAAGTGATGAAATGGGCCTATTTTTTTGGCCTGCAAGCCTCTGGGAGGCCAAAAAAGGCCTCACACAGGCCAAAAATCAGCTGTGAGGCGTGCGCATGCGCAGTGAGTTAAGTTTGCCTGCGGCTCGGGTGCCGGCACAAATAGCTTTGCGTGCCATCTGTGGCACACCTGCCATAGGTTCACCATCACGGTGCTATATTATTTAAGACAAGTGGATGCCCAGTCTCTTCTTAAAAGCCTCCAGTGATGAAGCACCCACAACTTCTGAAGGCAAACCACAGGTTAACTGTTCTAACTGTCGGGAAAATTCTCCTTCATTTTAGTTGGATGTCTCCTTGATGATTTTCCATCCATTTCTTCTTGTTCTGCCTTCTGGTGCTTTGGAAAATAAATCCCCCCCCCTTCTTTGGGGCAGCCCCTCAAATATTGGAATACTGCTATCATGCCAGCTGTCAGGGTTCCATTTAAATCAAGAGTCTCGAGCTAAACTTCAAAAGGATTTATTGGGAGTTAAAATGGCGGCACTGCCTGGGTGTAGCCAACTCTGAGGCACATTGTCACCCTTGACCCTCGTTTTCCCTCCACCCCCTGGGTATATCGTAATTCATATTCTCCAATGGGACACATCCCTAGCCCAGAGTCATCAACCATGCTCTCCAGTTAGAATTTTGCACGGCAGAAACTTCCGTCACCTAGTTCCTATCTTTGAAAACATTTATGGAATGCGCTTTCGGTTTGCAAGCTGCCGCACTGCTCCCCCCTCCTTTTCTGTTGGCAACTCTTAAAAAGACCATCAAAATATTTTATGAGTTGACACACACACACACACCCAGCCTGGTCCTTCTTTCCTCTAGACTGGCCAAAACCCAAATCCTACCACCGTTCTTTATCGTGATGCCTGTCTATCCAATTGAAAAGAACTAGAGCACAGCCTAGGAAGGAATTCTGGGAGTTGGCCCACAAGTCATAAAGGAGTCATCGTTCCCTACCTTTGACCTCGATAGAGAAGGGCATGTGTTGATGAGACGCAGGTAGCCCTCGAATTATAACAGCTTGTTTAGTGGCCGTTTTGACGTTTCAACAGCCCTTTAAAAAAAAGCGACCTATCACGTTTTTTTCCACACTTAACAACCGTTGCAGCTTCCCTGTGGTATTCATGACCTATATTTATGACGATTGCAACGTGCTGGGGTCAGATGATTCTCCTTTTGCGACCTTCCGACTAGTCAACGGGGAAGCGATGATTCGCTTAACAGCCGCGTTACCAGCTTAACAATGGCAGCGGTTCACTTAACAGCCGTGGCCAGAGAGGTCATAAAACGGGGCAAAACTCACTTGAACAACCTTAGCCACCGATACGTTGGGCTCCACCAAGGCGGCCCGACGCCCCGAAAGGGTGTCCTGCTCAGGCGGCCTCGGTGAGTCAGTGAAGCTGAACAAGGGCGCCCCTCGTCTTGTTCAGCGTCCGCTCTCACCGCTCCGGGACATCGGGAGCAGGAGGATTGGCGGCTCCCGGCTGGTGGCGTGGGGAGTGTAGAGGAGAAGGGAACTGGGCCACGCGGCTCCACTCAGGCAAGAGAGAAGCCTTCGGGGTGAGTGGGGCTGTGAGCACGGGTGCCCATCACTCATGCAGCCCCTTTGGGAATAAGCCACGGCCTGGTAGTGGTCCGTGGCCCACAAGTTGCGGGGGGGGGCTGTTCTAGAGTCTCTACCAAGGGTGAGCTGGTAGGTCTTCGCAGGAGTTCGAGAGAGCCCCGAACTAAGATTGTGTGCAGTTTGGAGAACCCCCCCCCCCCCAACCCCCCCCCCGGGCGGGCCCCCCCCCCCCCCCCCCCCCCCCCCCCCGGGCCCCCCCACAGCCTGTTTTGGATGCAGGTAAGTGCATAGAGGCTGAGGGAGGG